TTGTGTACAGACTGGTAATAGCAGCGGGCACCTTACATGTAAGAGCTTCGTACTATTTCTCTAAGAGCGGTTCACTGGTGGAATGTTATCACATAAATCTATGCTAGAATACCTCCTCTTCAGTTTAAACGCATATGTTTAGCAAAATAATATTTATCCTGGGAGATATTGCGCGTGCGCGAGAACCGTTTCAGGCGTGCTGTCTACGGACTGAAAGAAGGTGCATAATATAGCTTACTGGAGGCGAGGGAGGTGGGAGATTGAGAAATGGCGACAGGAAAGATAGCTGGTGGCTGGTAGAAGAAGAAGAAGGCTGAGCGAGAGACAAGGGAGACAACGCGAAGGACGCGGAATGGGATGAAGCAGGTGTTTTGCATCCTACAGGCTAGGGCGCTCTCCCAATTATTAACACAGGTCTACTGATAATAATTTATTACAGAAATCTATGCTAAGATTCCCCGTAACCATATTAAATGCATATTCATCACAAAATATAACTCCTCTGGTCAGATATTGCGCAGGCGTTAAAACACTAACGTAGCCAGATTGTGTACTGAGGGGTATATGCAGCGGGCAAGTTACATGTAAGATCTTCGTACTATTTCTTAAGATAGGTCCACTAATGGAATGTTATCACATAAATCTATGCTAGAATACCTCCTCTTCAATTTAAACGCATAAGTTTCGCAAAATATTATTTATTCAGGGAGATATTGCGCATGCGCGAGACCCGTTCCAGGCGTGCAGTCCGGAGTGAAGGAAGGTGCATAATATAGCTTGCTAAGGGGGAGAGAGAGGTGGGAGACTGAGGAACGGCGACAAGGAAGATAGCTGATGGCTGGTAAAAGAAGAAGGAGGCTGAGCGAGAGACAAGGGAGTTAACGCGAAGGACGGGATGGGATGAAGCAGGAGTTTTGCATCCTACAGGCTAGGGCGCTCTCCCAATTATTAACACTGGTCTACTGATAATAATTTATTACAGAAATCTATGCTGAGATACTCCATAACCATTTTAAATGCATATTCATCATAAAATATAACTCCTCTGGTAAGATATTTCGCATGCGCTAAAACACTAACGTAGCCAGATTGTGTACAGACTGGTAATAGCAGCGGGCACCTTACATGTAAGAGCTTCGTACTATTTCTCTAAGAGCGGTTCACTGGTGGAATGTTATCACATAAATCTATGCTAGAATACCTCCTCTTCAGTTTAAACGCATATGTTTAGCAAAATAAAATTTATCCTGGGAGATATTGCGCGTGAGCGAGAACCGTTTCAGGCGTGCTGTTTACGGACTGAAAGAAGGTGCATAATATAGCTTACTGGAGGCGAGGGAGGTGGGAGATTGAGAAATGGCGACAGGAAAGATAGCTGGTGGCTGGTAGAAAAAGAAGAAGGCTGAGCGAGAGACAAGGGAGACAACGCGAAAGACGCGGAATAGGATGAAGCAGGCGTTTAGCATCCTACAGGCTAGGGCGCTCTCCTAATTATTAACACAGGCCTACTAATAATAATTTATTACATAAATCTATGCTAAGATACTCCCTAACCATATTAACTGCATATTCATCACAAAATATAACTCCTCTGGTGAGATATTGCGCATGCACTAAAACACTAACGTAGCCAGATTGTGTACTGACTGGTATATGCATCGGGCACGTTACATGTAAGATCTTCGTACTATTTCTTAAGAGATCTTAAAGAAGAAGGCTGAGCGAGGGACAATGGAGACAACGCGAAGGACGCGGAATGGGATGAAGCAGGAGTTTTGCATCCTACAGGCTAGGGCGCTCTCCTAATTAGTAACACAGGTCTACTAATAATAATGTATTACATGAATCTATGCTAAGATGCCCCTTAACCATATTAAATGCATATTCATCACAAAATATAACTCCTCTGGTACACATGCACTAAAACACTAACGTAGCCAGCTTGTGTACAGACTGGTGTATATACATAACTGATGGAATGTTATCACATAAATCTATGCTATAATACCTCTTCTTTAGTTTAAACGCATAAGTTATGCAAAATATGATTCATTCTGGGAGATATTGCGCATGGGCGAGAATTGTTCCAGGCGTGCAGTGCGGACTGAAGGAAGGTGCATAATATAGCTAGCTGAAAGAAAGGGAGGTGGGAGATTGAGAAACGACGACAGGAAAAATAGCTGATGGCCGCTAGAAGATGCAGGAGGCTGAGCGAGGGACAGGGGAGTCAACGCAAATGACGCCGGTTGGGATGAAGCTTGTATTTCGCATCGTACAGGCTAGGGCGCTCTCCTAATTATTAACACAGGTCTACTGATAATAATTTATTACAGAAATCTGTGCTAAGATACCCCCTAACCATATTAAATGCATATTCATCACAAAATATAACTCCTCTGGTGAGATATTGCGCATGCGCTAAAACACTAACGTAGCCAGACTGTGTACTGCCCGGCTATATGCAGCGGGCACGTTACATGTAAGATCTTCGTACTATTTCTTATAAGGGGTGCACTGATGGAATGTTATTACATAAATCTATGCTAGAATACCTCCTCTTCAGTTTAAACGCATAAGTTTCGCAAAACATTATTCATTCTGGGAGATATTGCGCATGCGCGAGAACCATTCCAGGCGTGCAGTACGGACTGAAGGAAGGTGCATAACATAGCTAGCTGGGGGAGAGGGAGGTGGGAGATTCAGAAACCACGACAGGGAAAATAGCTGATGGCTAGTAAAAGAAGAAGAAAATAACTGATGGCCGCTAGTCGATGCAGGAGGCTGAGCGAAGGACAATGGTGTCAACGCGAAATACGCGGGATGGGATGAAGCAGGTGTTTTGCATCCTACAGGCTAGGGCGCTATCCTAATAATGAACACAGGTCTACTGATAATAATTTATTACAGAAATCTATGCTAAGATACCCCTTAACCATATTAAATGCATATTCATCACAAAATATAACTTCTCTGGTGATATATTGCGCATGCGCTAAAACACAAACGTAGCCAGATTGTGTACTGACTTGTATATGCAGCGGGCACCTTACATGTAAGATCGTCGTACGATTTCTTAAGGACGGTCCACTGATGGAATGTTATCACATAAATCTATGCTAGAATACCTCCTCTTCCGTTTAAACGCATAAGTTTCGCAAAATATTATTCTTTCTGGGAGATATTGCGCATGCGCGAGAACTGTTCCAGGCGCGCAGTACGGAAGGAAGGTGCATAATATAGCTAGCTGGGGAGAGGGAGGTAGAAGATTGAGAAACGGCGACATGGAAGATAGCCGATGGCTGTTAGAAAAAGAAGAAGGCTGAGCGAGAGACAAGAGAGACAACGCGAAGGACGCGGAATGGGATGAAGCAGGAGTTTTGCATCATACAGACTAGAGCGCTCTCCTAATTAGTAACACAGGTCTACTGATAATAATTTATTACATAAATCTATGCTAAGATGCCGCTTAACCATATTAAATTCATATTCATCACAAAATATAACTTCTCTAGTGAGATATTGCGCAGGCGCTAAAACACTAACGTAGCCAGATTGTGTACTGACTGGTATATGCAGCGGGTATCATTAATGCAAGGTCTTATTATTATTTCTTAATTGAGGTATACTGATGCAATGTTATCATATAAATCTATGCTAGAATAACTCCTCTTCATTTTAAATGTATATTTTTTGCAAAATATTCTTTTTCAAAATAAATCTTTGCGAGAGAGTTATTCTTATTATTCTTACTTGTCTTTATTCTTTTGTTTGCGCAAAGCGGCGCGCGTGCGGTATGTTGCAGAGGAGCATTTGAACGGCATTTCCAGGGAATTATCGGCAATAATAGGCAAAGGAGAGTAGATAAACATGAAGACTTTGGTAGTAAATACATTTCGTTTTTTTTATCATCATTTTACTATTGAAACGTTCCAAGTGTGGCGAGAGCGTGGCTACGGCGGCTTGGCAGGACAGATGTGACGTCACGCGCAAGTAATCGCCCACAGCATTTGTTATCGGAGCGCGGTAATTTCGCATATGTTATCCCATGTAGCAACATTACTGCGCGATAATACTGACAGATTATTTGAAATACTACAATAATATTAACATATCTACGATATGTTCAACTGTGACTGGGTTATTTTGACATTTAAAAGCTCGACGCAAATCCTTTACACCTTACAACGTAAATACGAACACATTCTGCACGTGGCTTGTGCAATATCCACAGGTAACATTGCACATCGTGCGCAATACACCGTGCGCCTCTGCGCGGCAATCGTTACGCACCGATCCTTTGTAGCTGCGCACCATCCATGCATAACAATAGATTTCATCTCGGCGCGCACTCGGCTACCAGCTACTGGCCGGGGCCTCCAACTTGCTCTTTGCGCAACCCCGTCCTGGGCTGAAACAAAAGCGTTTTGTCTCACTGACGCGGTCTAGGCCCGCGGCAACTGACTGGCCGTTACGTAAAGAGATTAGCATGCTTTATTGACGTTAGTCCATGTGCGCTACCGGTTATGTCACGAGACGCAATGAGCAGTAATATTGCACAGGCCGGAGCAGCTGCCTTCGCGAGCGTGTATGCGTAGAGAGACTGGGCAGGTGGCATGGCCGTCCCAAGCGACGGGCACACGCAGGGCGATGGCAATAACCTGACAATACCTACCTACGTCATCGCTGTCATCAGGCCTAACCTTTGTCGGAGTGATTGCGGCATACTATAATGAGCACCCGACGTAGGACGGGTTCTTTTCCACGCACTTGCTTGGCACGCTCGGACAATCTGATGCAGCTAAGCATGTAAAAAAAGCGTTACGTTAAATACGTTTATAAACGAGAGAAAAATGTATGTGCCAATAATCTATTTGTGTTAGTTAAGAAATTATTACGATCCACAATCTGGATTCTTTCTAAACCTGGGGATTTTTTTCCAAACATGAGAGGGTTATCTTTGAAATGGGAATCTAGGTGTAAAAGCATATGTCTGCGCATGGAATTTCTTAACAGTTACTGTTAAGTAAAGTTAATTTCATTGGAGAGGAGAGAAAATCAAACTAAATAATAAAAATCGTGGATAAAGCGAGGCTTTACTATCTAGAGGAAGCGTATAACTATATATATATATATACGCACGCACCCCCCTCCCTACACACACACACACACACAC